TAATACCTTAAATAAAAATTAAAGCAAAATAATATTTGGGTAAATCTAAATTTAAGTTACATTTATTGTTATTTGTTTTAATTTGTTTTTAATTAATATATTTTGATATTAATATCAAGTTAATACTGAGTTTATGGCATAGTATGGGACACAGTATTAGGACTCTTTTAATAGTAACTCTCAAACAACCAGAAAATATATTTATATGGCATCTACCAAATCTCATGAGTGCCAGTTAACTGAGGTAAAAGAGGTAAAGGTTTCCCCTGACATTAAGTCTAGTCGTGTCAGATTCTGGGGGTTGGTGCTCATCTCCATTTCGAAGTCGAAGAGCCAGCATTGTCCGTAGACACTTCCAAGGTCATGTGGCCAGCACAACTGCATGGAGCGCCGTTACCTTCCTGCAGAAGTGGTACCTATTGATCTACTTCCATTTGTATGTTTTCAAACTGTAGGTTGGCAAAAGCTGGGCCTAACAGAGAGCACTCACCACGCATCCTGGATTTGAAATTAAGGCTGATGTAGATATTAGATGTCATGGTCCAATCACACCTTACATTTCTGGAAAAGCAGTACTGTCTCCAGACCAGAAGAAAAAGCAGTCAGCAAGCTTGATAAATCTAGAAAACTGAAATCGCATGCTGGCAACCATCTAATAATTATAGAATTGGTTCATGGTGGACTTTGTTTGCAGTTGAAAGATGGCTGGAACAATATTGCATTGTACCTTTTATATACACAACACAGCATGCAATTTTAAAAAGGGGCTTGATGATCATCTAATTCTATGCTGAACACTGGGTCTTGTCTGTTCTGCAATCTGTTATTATGCAAGAATGTAGCTGTGGTTTGAAAGTTTTGAATTTGTCTTTGCACTTCAGCATCAGCTTTAACGACCCTTCATGAATTATGAGCAAAACATGTCTTCGTGGAGCTGTGAGTGGTTTTGTGCTGCAAAAGACACCCTCAAGGGTAATTTTACCTTCCCCTCCTCCTCTCTCCTTACCTTCTCTGTCTGATTCATGTAACTGATGCTTGTGTTAGCCTTTGGATTCATTCTGTGTCAAATATGTACATTTCTCACATTTGTATCTGTATTTCAGTTTAATAATGAGCACCGATAGATCACACTGAAGAATGAACATTTCACAAATCCTAATGAGGCAGCTGAAATGCCAGTGAATCAGACTGCAATGGCCCTCCTTTGGTGCTTTGATGGATGGTCAAATCCAGTAAGGAAAACAGGCAAAAGCAATCCAGATTGCCCAACCAATGGAAAGTGTTTAGCAATAGTTAAGCCCCATATCTTTTAATTGCAGTTTTTGAATAAAACAAAATAAACTTCAAATAAAAACTAAAACGAAGAATGGGAAATAAAAAATGTGTGTGAGGTTGCTTTAACTGCATGCAATTAAATGCATGCCTATACTAAATTGTTCCTTACCATGTGTGTTTTTTTTAAGTTTGCACTTGTCTTACTTGGGTTCACATGGATATCTGTCAATTCAAAGAACAGGAAGAGTACTATTGTTGTACCGACAAAAACAAATTCTACTTCCATGGTCTCCGGACAGTATCCTTGACCGATTCTTGTGCAGAGGTGACTTCAGAGTTCATGGCCGAGTGATAACTTCTAATTTGCAAATGCTTTCCAAGAATAAAGTCATTATTGATTTGTAAAAACCCTGACCTGATAAGCATAGAACTGGGAAATTCCACTTCATGTTGATGTGTTTATGTTTGCCTTCAACTTGCCTGTGGATACATGAATTTCATAGGGCTTTCTCAGGCAAGGAATACTCAGAGGTGTTTCTTCTGTTCCTTCCTCTGAAATATAGTCTACATACAGCAGCACCTGGTATTCATTGGTGATTTCTCATTCATGTACTAACCAGGTTCGACAGTGCTTAGCTATCAAGATCAGATAGGATCTGGTGCCTTGACAGAATTTTTATCCCATATCACTAACAAGTCATAAAGAGAGAGTACAATTTGTGGTAGAACCGGGGAATGTTAGTGTTTACATTCTTGAATTTAAAAAAGACATTTGAAAAGATAGGAGTGCTAATGCTATGGTGGATTGGGGCATGCCAACTCCATAGTCTTATGGAGCCACGATATATCCACTTAAAATCTGACCAAGAAGGACTGGTTTTAAACAGTTCTGATACTGATTTGTACAAGTCTAGTAACTCAAACAAATTCCTCAGGATCTTTGGGGTCCAGATGCTCTTAGACAACTGATCCAAATATAGATGTTGGCAAAGCTGCTAATTACTTAGTTATGCTTGAGAACCACATTTTTCATTTTAAAAGTATGAATTCACCAACCCCATTCAAAAGGTGATCTAGTGTCAGAAACTGACTCATTTTAATATTTTATATTATTCAGGAGCAAGATGTTTTCAGTGTGGATATCAGAGCCCCTGGTGGCACAATGGGTTAAACTCTTGTCACAGCAGGACTGCTGACCGACAGGTCAGTGGTTCGAATCCAGGGAAAGCGGGTTGAGCTCTATCAGCTCCAGCTCCCCATGCGGGTACATGAGAGAAGCCTCCCACAAGAATGTTAAAACATCAATCATCCAGGTGTCCCCTGGGCAACGTCCTTGCAGACAGCAAATTCTCTCAAACCAGAAGCGACTTGTAGTTTCTCAAGTCGCTCCTGACATGGAAAAAAAAGCGTGGACACCATAGATTTCCCGCTGGTCAAATCAATTTTGACTCAAGCTAATCCATGAAGACAGCCGACACTTCTACTTTGTATCTGGATCACTCTTCCCCAAAATAGAATAATAAAGTGCTAAAACCTTTTAGAAGTTTAAATCACCTTATGCAAGAATCTAGTAGTCGTAGTAGTAGTAGCATCTATTTGTAATGTACGGGTTGCCATGTCTGTTTGCTGGGGCGCATTTCAGTTCATTTTTTACTGATGTTCACTAGTGCTCCTAAGTCCAAAATTGTAGTTGTGGTTGTGTGCCTTCAAGTCATTTATGGAGACCCGATGAGCATTTGTTTAGGGGGTGCTTTTGCTTTTCTCTGAGGTTGAGAGAATGGGACTTGCCCTAGTTGGTTTCCATGGTTGAGTAGGGATTTGAACCCTGGTTTTCCACAGTCTCTCTCAATCTTTTATATGTCCACTCAAAAGTAAGCCTTATATAATTCAAATATTTACACCTAGATCTTTTAAATAGCTAGATCTGCTTTTCATATTTGGATACTGAGCACATTCCTTCATTCCTACCCTTAGCACATTTTATTTTCTCTCACTTGATATCTGTAGCCCATGCTGGCTCCAAATCTCATCCTATACTCACCCCTAAATTCCTTCATAGCTCCTTTCATCCACTTCCAAATCCCTTTCATAGCCTGTTATCTACTCCTCTTCCTGGCTTCAAGGCAAGGCAAATACCCCAACTGCTGGGCCAGCCCTGGCTGTTGTGAAATCTGTAGCATGCTTCTGTTATTGTTGATGTAGAGAGATGAGTCTTCCCACACTTACTTGTGGAGTGATAAAAATCTACCCTGTCACACTTTCTTGGGCTAGTGTTGAAAAAGCACAGCTTGGTCTTAATGAGATGGTTGAGACATATTGAAAACTACCATCTCTGCTTGCTCTCGGTTTGCCTTCTGCTTTTGTGGACTTGTTCTACCAATGCTGCATGCGTTCTGCAATGATCCATCTGCTCAAAGATCTTCTCTGTCTCAGAGTAAAACTGAGATGCTTTGAAACCTCCCTCTGAACATACACAGTTTACAGTCGTGCATCTCAACAATTCTGTCAAAAATGCACCAACATTCTTTGACAGAGAAATCTAAAAACCTTGTAAAATGACAGCTCCCATGATTCCATAGGATTGAGCTATAAAGTGGTATCAAACTGCATTAATTCTACACTGTACATGCAGCATAAGACCAGAAATGAGGCTGCACAAGTCTAAAGGAGGAAAGTAATGTCAGGGATGCTGTGGAAGCAGAACTGGAAGTGATGTTATGCAGCAGAATGCGGGAACTCAGCAGATATTCTTAATGAGACAGCCCAGGCATATACATCTTTTACCGTTATTAGAGCATTAAAAAAAAGTTACAGAATTATATTTTAATGCTTACTATTGGGCAATGGTACATGTCTACACATAGAGCAGAAGAACCCAGAGAAGGGGGGGTGGGGGTGGCATTCCTTCTTTCACTGCAGTTCCTCCTCCTCCTGAACTTCACAAAAGGCTCTGGAGGATTCAGAAATCAACCTTCTGAATCCATCTCCTAGGTGGCAAAGAGCACTGCAAGAGGGCAACAAGGAAGAAGTAAAAGGAGTATGGCTTAATCTTGCCAGCATGCAAAATTCAGTGTCTATGTCTTTTCTTTCCAGTTGATGAAAACCTGTTCTCAAGATTAATGATCTGAAGATTTTAGCTATGCAGTATCCCAGCATGCAATATAAAATTGCACTGCTTAACTAGGGAAAGAAATAGAAACTTTCTGCTGGCTATGGTCCAGCGCCATAAACAAGAGAACGTGCCTCCATCTATAAAATCCAAGGTTTTCTTTTGTGTTCCCAGAGGCCATACTCTGTGGTTAAAGGAAAAACTTTCAGTGAGGTTTTTCCTTCTGTATGTTGGTGGCTTCCCAAATGTCCACATTATAGTCAAAATCAGGGACACACCTTCCTTCGGCATCCAACCTAGAAGTGATGTGATGTCACTTCAGTTTCGTTTTTCACTATTTTGTCAGGGGATTAGGAAGATGGGAAAATGAACCCACTGCATTTTGTGGCAATTTTGACCATTTTGTGATTTGGCGGTTGAAAAAATAACCAGAAAGAAAATGGCTGGCTAGGGACATATGTAACATCCCAGTGCTCCAAAAAGCAGTCTTGCTGCCACAAATGGCTCATAGGCTGCACTTTCGCCATCCTGATCTGAAAAACAGTTTATAAACAAGTTGTTTCCGTCACAGATTCCAATATAACTGGATGAAAACAAAACACTTTCAATCATGCCATAGTCATAAAACATATCTTTATTATTAATGTCCATATATATTTTATTTTTATTTTTTTACTCAAAAGTATCTATGTTGTACACATTCTCCTTGCTGTAAGTACAAGTGTTTTCAAGTGTATATATGTGAGTGTATGTTACTGGGTGAGTGGGAGCACAAGTGAAACAAGAAACAGGGCTCAGAAGTTACTTGGAAAAATAAGTTATCTTGGCAAGATTATGTCACTGAAGTGGCAAGGTGACCGATATAAAAAAAGAGCAGGCTCGTTATAAAACATTGTGTCAAGACATGTGATGAGGAGGGTGCTGTTGTGCCACATCTGGTGCATGTGATGGTGAGATATATATATACTATATTACACACACAACTATTGCTCTGTCATGAAGGAACTAATGCTCTTGAGGGGAAACTCCCTGCTGCTGTTGGCACAGCTGTCTGGAAGCCAATACAGTCCCAATTTTTGTTCCCCAGAAATGTGCATTCAAAGGTTTTTGTTTGATTCACAGATGTTTCTTTCAATTAACAGGCTTCCCATACAGGCAGTTTTAAGGTAAGGCTCAGATGACTGCACCACTCAAGGCCCACCAAACCACCTTGTGAGCCACCTTGTGAGAAGATGCCTACTGTTTCTTCCCATCTGCAATTATAAAAAGAGGCTGACTGCGAAGTCATCAGCAGGCTGGGCTTCACTTTGATGGGCCATACATTGTACAGGATGGAGGTAGGAATTTCCCCCTATGGGCTGCTGTGATTTTCCAGCCATGAAAGCCTTTGACAACACAATTTCTCCTCCTTCCATTGCTGTTAGATTCATTTGCAATGTTGGCTCTTGGTAGTTCCATAGCCCCCTCCCTACCCCAAATACCATCATTTATCTCTTATTTTAATTTCATTATTACGGTGCTCATATCTGGTAACAACACATTTCAGAGCTATAAACCAGGGTTGAGAATTGTGATGCCCTTCCAGATCTCTCTGGACTGTGACTCCCATGAGACCTCACCATCACTTCTGTTGCCCATGGCTGCTGGGAATAGTGGTTGCAATCCAAGAGCATCCCATTAGCTGCATGATCTCTGCCCCCTCATTGAACTCAACCCTTGTTTTCCAGTCCCCCCCCCAAAAGGACACCCCCCCCCAACCTCTGTCAGTTCTGGCTAGTAGTACAACAAAATAACTCCCTGTTTAAACTTTCTCTCTTTAAACTCTGATTGCCAGCTTTCATCAATCACAGAATGACCATCTAGAAGCCTTCCCAAAAATACTGCCAAGAAGACTGTGTATGCCTTCAAGTCAGCTGTTGACTTATGGTGACACCATGCATTTCATAGGGTTTTCTCAGGCAAGGAATACTCTGGGCCCTTCCATACAGCCCTATATCCCAGAATATCAAGGCAAAAAAAAATCCCACAATATCTGCTTTGAATTGGGGTATTTGAGTTCACATTCAGATAATGTGGGATTAGGGTTGTGTGGAAAGGCCCTCAGAAGTAGTTTTGCCATTGCATTCCTCTGAAATATATAACATGTGGTATTGGTTGGCTATCTCCCACCCAAGGACTAACTAGATTCTTAGACTGGCTTAATTTAAGTGGCAGTGAAAAAGCTTTAGAAGTTTGCCTCAGATCTTTGGCATAATTCAATTTACAAGCTTCTGTTCATTTAATCACAGCTAGATTGCAAGCCTTTTTAACCTCCTTTTAACCTCCACAGAGTAAGGTTTTTTAATTTTAAAAAAGAAGTGAAGATCACATAGTCCTCTAGGTACTGTTCTATCAATACTGCCAGTAGCCCTTGGTCAGCACAGCTAATGGTGAAGAATGCTGGCAACTGTAGTCCAATAATACAAGCAAGGCAGCATGCTATTCACCACTGATTTAAAAGAACACTCAATTCCATAAATTGCTACTCAGGCTGGAAATATACTGCTCTATATCTCAGAATCTGATCCCAAATTATCTGCTTATCCCAGATTATCTGGCAGTGTAGATTTATATAATCCAGTCCAAAGCAGATAATCTGGGACTGGATCCTGGAACACAGGGCAGTGTAGATGCCTCAGTTTTAGGTGGCCAGTTTTTGGTCACCAGGAAGCAGTTGGCAGACAGTACCTATTAGGTTTCTTTCCTACTTTGGTGGTAAGGTTGGGTTTCCCATTCTTCAAGAGTTGGTGTGCTATCTGATCTCCCTTTATGCTGGCATGGGTATTAGTTTGTGAGGGGTCATTGCTCAACCGTCTTAGCAGCCTCCACGCCTTCTGGTTGCTCCTGCCCATGTCGACTTCTGTTATCAGCTTTATCCACTGTTCTTACTTGGCTTCAGAGATGGAGGACACAATGCTCTACGCTGCCTGAAAGGTTTGCTCACTAACCCTATTAGGTGAGGGAGTCTGGAGTCTGGACTGGTGAGAAGCTTCAGCACAAAAATCGGGCCTCTTTCATACAGCAGATATAGGGAACATGGCCTCCAGATATTGTCAGACCACAAGTTCCATCATCTCTCACCACTAGCTATGACAGCTTGGGCTGATAGTAAATTGTTCTCAAACAGTATTGGGGGTGCGGGGAGAGAAAGCCTATATTCCTCAGTCATGACACATAAAACAGGGCTTCCTTATCTCTTGGTTGGGCTTCATCTGATGTCTTGAAAGAGCTAAATGGTTCTCTTTTACCTTGCCACTGATGATGCATCTGATTTTTCTCTATTGCCTATGTAGCTTTGTCAAGAGGTGCATAATGCAGTTTCTTACTTTTCTTTCATAATGCTTCTGAGCTCAGGAATTACAGCAGACATTCTCTGGCCAAATGTATTCAAAGGCACTGAACCTACAATTTCCTCTTGCTGTGTATATCACAGGGAACAGCTGAGCAGCGTCCCTCCCCAAAAGACACTTGTTCTCTGCAGCAGGCAGCATTGACCTAGATTTCTTTTGCTGTGGCTAAACTCCCAATTGACTTGAATAGGTGAGGAATGAAGCTCACACACACATCTTTCAAACAATCTCCAATCTTGATTGCTTTTTTAACACATTTCTTCCCTAAGTGCTTCTACTATTGTGACATCTCTTGCTATAAATGAAACACACCTAATGTTTTTTCTTTAAAATCAAAAGATGGAAAGCTCATCTTTTTAGCCACTGTCTCCCTCCCCAGTAATATCCCTGCTCCCTCATCTCACAAAGTAGGAAAGGAATCCTATTGTTAAATTATAGCAACTATTATGGCCATCAGGGTGGGAAAGTATTGTCTGTTTGTGTTTCTGGACTGCAATATATTCCATATTTCTACAGTACTTGAAATCACTGGATCTCTGAAGATGAAATATTTCTTTCAATTCATATGTATCAGCATAACCATCATTCTTTTGTAGCTCAGGCCTCATCTAGACTAGCAAAAAAACCCCTATATATACACATCTCATCCAGTGCTGTAAGAACACATGATGCATGACCATTTTAACAATGAAAGTGCTTCTTTAATGCAATGTTTTAAAACTCACTTCTTGTTCTTTGGGTGGGAAAAATGTATTTTTTGCTGCATGTATCTTAACTGCATTGGGGTGGAATAGGAATGAGTGGCATGCGCCATCTGGCAATCATAATCAATTGTACTACTTGCTGGGGTTTAACATGAGTACCATTGGTCTCTTTTATTATTTTATGAATGAAGAGGACTGGTCAGCTACCCATTCCTCAGCTGAGCCCAGTAGTGACAGGGTAGATCTGCACTGCAAAGAAAATAAATAAAATGTTTCTTTCTTCTCAGGGCCACTGCTGCTGCCTCCCCAACTAAGCACCATCCCAGCAGAGCCCTGCTGGTGAAGTTGCAGGTGCCCAGCCAAGTGGTCAACAGTGATATATCTGCTTGATCAATGTCCTTGAAGTTGATTTCATGGCTTGCCTGGGCTGGAGGAGGGATGACAGTCCCAAGGGAAAAAAAGCGGTGTTGATTTGAATTTGGGCTGGGGAAATGTGTGGCTATTAATACAATATCAGAAGGGGATAGTACAATTAGGTGTGGTGTTAGCAGGGTGAATCTAGAGCAGCTCCAATGTAGTATACTCCAAACTGCAAGTCTCCATTTTAACAACGCACCAACTTTAACTGTAAGTGCACTCGTGTGGCTGTTCGAAAAGGTTTTCTGGGGCCCAGTCTTTTCTGAGGTGAAATCACCTCTCTACACTACAACCAGGGGCTAATTTAGATCTTGTTTAAAGCTGTTTAAGGCATCCCAAACTGACCATAACTAAATGTAAAAAATACATTTTGTCTGGATAATTTGCAAGAGCCCGGGCAAACAGGCAACTTACTACTCCTACAGTGCTTCTTTTTCTAAGGTATTGTGATCTGCTAAGCTTCTACCACTCACAGCTTTATTAGAGAACAGATCAGAGTCAATTAGGAGACTGTTTGCTATTACACAAGGTTCTCCTTTCAAAGTTCCCAGAAATAGGCAGGAACTAAGATTTACATTCATTTGATCAGGTAAACAAGATTTAGTATATGGGATTAGAATCCCTCCTCAGGCCCCCAGACATGCACAGATAGCTATGCACAGGGAAGCGTGTGAAGTCTTAGCTCTGCCTTTTCTTCTCCTTTGCTTCATTTCCCCGTTTAGGTTTTGCCAATAGCGTAGATATCTTTCTTTGTATTAGTTTTGGGTGGAGCTTAAAATCCCCCCCAGAGCTCAGACTTAGTTGATCTATTCCATTTCCCAGTATAGAGCTCTCTGACTGGACTCTTCCTCTTTCTACAGCAGAGCTACTGTGACTTAGGCTTGGGATTGCTAAGAATGCCAAAACAGGCATTCTTAGCACCTGCATTCAGCAGTATTTTTACACTAACAGTCCAAAGGACAACAGAAGCTTATGACCAGCTTATTATTCACAAGAAAGAAGATTGAGACAGTTTATAATCATCGCTTTACATCAGAGGCAGAAGAATCTAGAGAGATGACTGTAAAGGCTCCTTTTATGATGTATTGTTTTAAGTTACCTTATGATAGTTCTGGGTGGAGTTAACCCTTTATTCATCTTGTTTGCAGTAAACTAATTTTGGTTATCTTTTCACCTTGCCTAAAGTGCCTCTGTGTGATAAAGGGTCTTAATCTTAACAGAAAGTATACAGATATCCCCCAAGTAAAGCCAGACACTACAGTTTTTCCCCAAAGGCTCGGGGGTGGCATCATAAAGCGAACCTGTAAGTTTGTCAACTGAATTTGTCAAGTTCTGTGCAAACATCTGTTCTAGAATCTAACACTGCATATGCCTCCTTATATATTAGTTGCTTGACTAATAAAGAGCACTTCACAGCTTTAGACTTTTACCCTGAAAGTACATACAGACTAGGAAAAGCACGATAATAGAGATTGCAGAATATCTTTCATTGTTACTGAGATAGTGGTGTCCCACGAAACAGAGCCGAGGACATTCTCAGCAAAAAGGTCACACGTTTTGAAACAGTCCTTAGTCACAGTGGTAAGTCTCCTGCAAGAAATGCATGGGAAAAGCAGGACTGAAACTGATGAGATTCTCCCCCAAAAGCTAGTAATTTAAGTCTTAGCACAAACAGGTTTCTCTTTTAATCATTTATACAGGAGATTAGTTTAACAGTATAATTGGGACTTTTTTTCTGCAATAAAACTAATCTGATGTATTTTTCCTTATAAAATGAGAACGACAAGAATATACAGTATGATGGTCACACTGGCTAGGTGTTTTGACTAGTTATGGGCCACTTTTTTTTTACACTTTCCTGGTATTGCTGTTCTGATTTAATGAAGCAACGAAATCACTGATAAAGCTCACACCCAAATCCTGATGAGATTAATACAGGGGCCTTGTTTCTAAAAGTCCAACCCTACCCCGATCCCATCCCCAAGAACAGTTTATCACAGGAACATAAAATTCAAGCCCTTCTCTAGGAGGAATGGGCAAATCTCATTTTTTGCTTCTTTTCAAATTCAACATGTCAAAGTGTTGTTAAATTTTGGTCTGAACTAAAATGAGCACTCACTCCAGGGATGAGGAGATTAATTGGTTTTACTTTCTCCAATACAGAATTATGTGATGAAAAACTGGAATTTAATTCTCAGCTATCTCTAGTCCACACAGACCACAATGCTTCTCACATACACAAATGTAAGTGTCCAACAGATGAATCTCCCTGCCACAATTTCTCATTACCACTTACTCTTCTTTGCGCATCCTATGTGTGCAATGTACATCACTAACCTGTTAACCTGTTCTCTCTCCTTCTGCTTCTTGGGATCCTTTTCTCTATCTGTAGCTCCTAAACCCCTCCCAAACACACATTTGCCATAAGTTTGGTTTCTTGTCCTCCCTCTATTTTCTTCAAAATAAGCATAAAGGAACAGAGAAGGAGAAAATACAAGCCCATAACAAGTGAGTTACTTCTGTCCTGTCCTTCCTATTTAAAAATGGGAATAATAGTGTGAACATTATGGAAAAACAGGGAGTACTCCTTTGTGGTCAAGCAGCAATTCAGCTCACCAACATGGCAGAGTTACATTTTTGTTGTTTGGAAGTACCCTATAGGAGTACGAATGGCAGCCCCTGGACCCATTTGATATACTGCTCCCTTACTTTTCCACTAGATATCTCTGAGCAACCTATAGAAACGGTATATATTATATTTAATAATATTTCTCTTTAAATATAACTTTTGACTTTACATCTTAAGTTACCAGTAGCACAAGTAACACGGAGAGCAGCCCCCTAACAAGTATTTACAATTCTTGCACAGAAGAAAGTTTTGGTTTCTGGAAGCAGCATCCCATAGTGTGCTTACCACCTTTAGACTCAATATTTTCCTTCCACATGGCTCCTCAGTGGTGCCAGTTCTAGGGTGACCATGAAACAGCTTTGAAGATCATTAGGGCTGTTTGCTAAAATGACCTGTTGGGTTCCTTCCTGCTTCTTATCTCCTAAGGCAGGATATTCCGAGAGACCCTTTGGCCAGCCCAGACACTAACCCAATGCTTTTTTGCTCGTTTTAAATTCACACATGGTAAGCCCCAGTTGCCACCTCAACTTCCTTCCTAACACCACTTCCATGTGACAATCAATTTCTTTTGTGTATTTATGCAATCTTGAAAGTAGAGAAGGGAGGAATTCTACTCCAGCAGGAGTAAAAATTTAATGCTATTCCAAAGATTATTGCGGTATTTTTTTTTTTAAAAAAAAAGCTCAGCACCTCAGGAACTCCTTGAAAAACAAAGAATGGGGGAGAGTGGTGCCCTGGATTTTTTTGGAGAGAGATTAAGATAAGCCCCTTAAAGCAGCACTTCTATTGGGAATCCGGTACTGGTGCCCTTCCCCTCTCTCCCCTCTGACAGAATAACTCTTTTGACTGCAAAGTTTCTCTCACCCCCAAAATGCCACAGGAATTTCTGTTTAAAAATAACCTATTTCAGGAGTCCCTTTAAGAAATTATGTCCTCTCCCCCACAGGTTGTAGAAAAAACAAAACAAAAGAAGTTTCCCCTTTCCAGAATATCCCAGCCACCATTTAAAAAGTTGACAAAGTGGCTTTTTAAGAGCCATGGGCTTCTTCAACTGCTGAGAGTTTCTGCAAAATCCATGTTTGTATTTCTGTAAAAACAGAAGTAGTCACCTCAGGAAGCTCTTTGTGGAGGGCATGATAAGCTTCTTCATACACCTGCAAGCAGAATGAAAAAGAAAAGTTAGGGGCTTCAAAACTGTAAATTTTAAGACTGTTATATTTAATTCTGTTTCAATGTTTGCATATTTGTATATTTCAAATTATGTTGTCATTCTTTTAATTATAAGCCTCTTTGAGTCTCTTTCAGGAAAGATAAAGCAGAATATAAATAAGCATAACAACAACAATAATAAAATCTAACATATATAAGTGAGGAGAGACCTGCCTGGGGAGGGCAATGTAGCTGGTGAAACATCTAGGGGCAAGGGCTACAAACAAATCTACATATATGGAGGCAACTGCAAAACACAGAGGGCAACAAATGGGGTGTATGTGGAGATGGAAGAGCTCCTTCAAAGAAAGAAACAATTTTCTTGTTAAATAGGAATAATGGGACTAACACTAGTTGAGGTTCCTACAAAAGTAGATCTCAAGCCCACAAGCAGGACATATAGACACACCCCCCTCCTCCACAACTGGTATTCAGTAGTATACTCCTCCACAACTGGTTTTCAGTGGCATACTATTTCTAACAATGGCCATCAGGGTTGGGAATGCCTGACAAGCTTATTTGCAATTCATCTGCATATTGGGTGTCATCTAAATTAGTGCCTGCCCATCATTACATCTTCTGCTAAATAATAGCTATGTTTAAAAAACAGGTAAGCCAGGGAGCCAACCTTGACCTATTGGTCCTGAGTGGTGTGCTGTTGGACTCCCAGGCAACGTTTTTTAAAAAAATCTCCAGAGCTCTTTCTCTGGTTTTCTAGGAGACAAACTAGAGGCAGAACACTGCCAACATTTACAAAAAGAGTGTATGGTTTATTTTTGGTTTGTTGCTCTGATTTGTTGGGAGAGAAACTAGAGAGGGAACATGCCTGTTTGGGGGAGACATGAGAAATGTACAGCTGGTGGTTTGTTTAGCTGCTCTTACTGCAAGCGAAAGTATCTGAACCATCTATACTAGCAAGTTGCTCATTCACAACACTTAAGGCTCCTATGGTTCCTGGGCTCATTTTGTCAATCAAATAGATATTGAGTTAATCTACTAATCAATAGCCTTCTGATTACTATTTACTTCCTCTTTCCATACCTCAATAAGTGTACCTTTCCATTTGTATTGTTTTTCTATTAGTTTGCTATATATGAATTCAGCAATTCCTTTCTCTTTATTTTTCATTTGAAAATTTGGTCTAAATTTGTTTCTGGGTTTTCTTTTCAGTAACTTTTTGAGTCATGTCGTAAAAGCCAATTGCTTTGTCCACAAATGGCTTTTAACTCCTCCCAATCTTATGTTGTTCAACAAAATCAAAGGGATATTACCATACATGAACCATTGCAACCTAAAGATGAAAAGGAATACACTTCATTGACATTCTATTGCCTGGGCATCTGGAAGCACAACTTTAACTGGCCACAGGTCACCAGATGGGTACATTTTCAAAACTAAATTCAAACCTTGTCACTGTACTATCTGTTTTTAGTTTTAACTGCATTCTGACTTTTCCTTTATGAACTATCACATCAATGGGGTAACTATTCTTGTTTTTCTCAAATATAAATTCATTGTTAAAGTATGCCCCATGTGCTGCAAACAGGCCTTCATTCCCCATCTCTCATCACTTTAGACCATGGAGAGGACTTTATTTAAATAGTCTTGGATGCTGACATCCAAATTAATTATTTTGAGAGAGAAATGTCTTCTCATGGGCCTCTCTACCAAACCCCATCTTTTTAGTGATGAAAAACATTTACATATCTGAAAAATCCAAAGCCCAGTAAACTGCACTCCCAATTCCTTGTTCAAACAAACAAACAAATATAAATTCAAGATGACCTTGAGTGTTTTATCTTGACTTGATACAGTATCCATGAGCAAAAAAGAGCCCTTGATATCACAGAGTTTGTCAGGTGAGCCATGGAGCACCAGGATGGGAAGAGTCAGTTTGGAGAGTGAGCGCTGAATTTTGGCAATAGCATTCATCAGTTGGATAACAAAGCAGACTTTCATGCCACCATGGTAGACCAGGGGATCTGAGATGTAAGACTCAACCTGGTGGAATAAAACATCATTTTAATATCTCATTCTATTGCAAATAATCAGCTCCTGATAAATGTCATTTATTGTAGGGACACATTATTTTTCCACATGATTTGACTACTTCCAATGTCTGGACTGCAGTCTGGAGAGCATTCCCATGGTTTTCCAAGCTAAATTAGTCCAGAAAACTGTGGGAATACCAACCCCCTCCCTCAAAGCCCCCAAAAGCTCTTTAAAAAAACCAAAAGAATTTAGTCGGCCTCCACGAGACAGCTGCTGGAGTTCTCCTGACATGTACAAATGATGTGCCAGGAAGGGGGGGGGGGGGGGGAGGGAGAGAGAAAATCGCTTCTGCTCCCCCTTCTCCTGGCACATCATTTGTATGCACCAGGAGAACTCCGGCAGTCATCTCATGGAGGCCAGGTAAGTTCTTTTGTTTTTTTATGCTGTTTTGGGGAGCTTTTGGGGAGGGGGTTACAGTGTCCCGGTGTTCTCCCAGGAAGTCCCAGAAGAACATCTGGACACCCACCCCAGAAAGTGTAGGTGCTCCTGGGATAATTGCCTGTCTGGAAGGGCCCAGACTTTCTCTTCCAACAGAGTAAAATAATGGAGATACATTCATATGACAAATCCTCTTCACCACCCCCAGAAAAAGCCACAAATGTCAAGAGATGGCCTAATAATTTTATTTCATTTTTTTGTACTCACCCCACCCTGTTTTATGCTGAACAAATCAACAAGCCATTACTGGAACCATAATGAACTGAGCACATGATGTACCTGTCTAGCACTGGAGCAGTCTCAATGAAAGTACATAAAGAAAGAACAGAGCCAGAATAGGCACTGACAATGGTTTTGCCTTCCGTTTTTGCTTCACAGTTTTATATCTTTATATATATTTTTTGCTAAATGTTTTAACAGTATTTTATGATTCTTTTATTTGCTTATAATTGTTGAGGCATCAAATTCTTGCCAACTGTGAACCGCCCTGAGTTGCCTCCAGGCTGAGAAAGGCAAGATACAAATGTGTTGAATAAATAAATAAATAAATAAAGTTGAGACCTCTGAAACTGTCAGCAAAATGTTTTGTATCATGGCTTTTGAAGAAAATCTCTACATTTTTAAGGAGACAAATGTATGACAAAATATTTCTTTCTGCATTCTTAATCGCTCTCTTTCTGCTTCCAATTAACATGGTGCAAATTTGTCTTGATAATTTCTCACATTATTTTAAAAAACATTTTCAAAATGGTTGATTTCAAATTACCTCTGAGCAAAATTCATTCTTAATCTACCCTGAGGACAGAATGCTGGGAAGAGACACAGTTCAATGGCAGTGTATACAATTCTTATAAGAAAAATCTCAGATTCAGTCCCCAATATGTCCAGATAAAAGGATCAGACAGCTGATATAAATAAATAAATAAATAAATACTTTATTTTTTATTCCATCCTTTTCCCCCAAAGGGCAGACCTTCAACAAACAAAAAACAGAGGCAAACATTCAGTGCCTCACCACAAGTGTAAAAATATTGCCTATGATTTTGAAAGGCAAATGTTGTCTTCTCCTCTCAAAGTACAGAACACTAAACCAGAGAAACAAACAGTCGAACCTCTTACATAACATCTTCTTATAGCTCTATATTTTCATCATGGTGAGCATATCTCAACACAGGAATGACCTTGTTAGAGCAGACGAGAGGTATGTTTTCCCAAGTCCCTCTTTCCAAGAGTAAGAAGAAATTACATAGGAAATTATGGTGATACCCATTCCCTAATGTTTCTTTGTGCCATCAACACTGATTCAGGGACGGCACAACTAAAAACACCCCCCCCCCCTTTAAACAACATATAGCTGCAAATGAAAAAAAAGTGAGATAAGCAGAAGTGGATTTTTATGTAGAAGGGCTATTTGTTCCCTTAAATTTTCAGAACAAGTTCAGAAGCCTTTAATTCTAAGAGAATGTCTTATGCACTAGGCATGATCTAGTTGCTGTGCCTAGTGAAAAAACCACTTCGATTCATGAAGCCTGAGGCCTGTCAAGCCCTTTTCATATTTTCAATCCATTTCCTAGTACTTACTAACATTTTTTACTACTGTAACGTAGTGAGCAATTTCCACTATTACCTCACACATGCCTTTTGTTGGGTAGTTTCTACAAATAGAGAAAGCTGTATTTGACGTTTGGGTAGTTGCAATTACTTTGTTCTCACATCTTCTATTTTTGGTGCCACTCTGATTTCTTTTCAGACCTCTAAATCACTACCTGGGTTTTGCTCAAAGGGTGATAATATGCTACTTGGCCTGGAATTGCTAATATCAGTAATAATTATGAGAATTTACAAAAACAAAAAAACAAACAAACAAAAACAATCTTTGGGTTCTGAAAGGGCCTTTCCACACAGCCATATGACCCAGAATATCAAGGCAGATAATCCACAATACCTGCTTTTAACTGGATTATCTGAGTCCATACTGCCATATAATCCAGTTCAAAGCAGATGATGCGGGATTTTATTCAGTTGTGTGGAAGGGGCCTGAGTGACCCAGGAACCAGGTGGTTGAATTGCAAGAGCTGTCAAGTTCAGCTGCAAGATTTCCAGCATGATGAAGACAGAAGCAGTAGAGTAGTTGTCAGTCAACCCATGAGTCATTCAGCAAGTCGGTAGTCTAAATAAACAACTCCAGCAAGAAGTAAAAATGGAGTAGTAAATTGTAGCGAGTCCAAGATCAGGAAAATACAGACTCTAAAGAGGACTACTAGTCACCAAGAAGAAGGGTTGAAAGCAAAAAAGCTGCCAGGAAATGGCTGTGAAATGTATAGGCAACTGTCTTCAGACACTGGGCACCTAATCTGGTAAGTGATGCCTACTTAATAACTGCTGGGAATGGTGCAATCTCTCAATGTCTCTTTGTCACTCAATGAATGATGAATGATGTCTGCAGACTCCTGCAATCCCTGGTTTCATGGACTGAGGCCCCTTCTACACAGCTGCATAAAATCCAGCTTATCTGCTTTGAACTGGATTATATGGAAGTGTAGAAGGGGGCTCAGGTTGATTGTATGATAGCTGGGACCCAGTGCTGCTGGCGTTACGCTGTTTCCAGAATGGTGCCTTGGGAACGCTGTTTGCAGAATTCAGGCGCAGGAGAATACCATTGAAGTAATTTCATGCAGGGCGGGGGGGGGGGGCATAGATAACAGTGAAGGAATGTAACAGGTGTTTAATGATAAATGATAAACATCGGTTTGGGAAATGGTCTGGGAAGACCTTAAAGAGGGATACAAATCAGGAATATAACCCCAAGAGATTATTAAACACTTCCATGTTGTTCCCAACCCACATCCAGGGCTCAGTAATTCTATGTTCCTGGAAAAACCTCACAGCCAGTTCCGTTATCTGAAACTGCTCAGTACAGTGGATTATATTAATTTTACACCACTCGTATTTCTGCCCTCCTTTCTATCCTCCCTTTTAATGCAACAATGAAGTATCTCCCTGACTTTCTCTCCCTGCGTCTCTCAGTTTGCCCGCTTTCACTCCGTCCCCCCTCTCGGCCACGTGGTCGGACACATGTTCCCTTCCCTCATTCACAACCACAGTTGTGCTATCAGCGTAATGCCGGCAGCACTGGGTCTCAGCTAGCATACTATCACCGGGCTCAGAGTGACTATTGATATCAGGAGGTGCACATTCTTGGCAAACTGACTCCTTTGTTCTGTCTGTCTCCTCTGACTTTAGATGAGTTATTTTCTTTATGGCCTCTGACAAATGACCCCTGGCACCATCTAACCATTTCTATACCATGATAATTCTGCACCGTGTTCTCACTGAATTAAAGTCAACATAAATTATAAGATTAAACAAAGCGGTATTTATAGTGGAAAGGTGGTTAAAGCAGGAGGAAAAACAAATGGTTAATAATACAAGAACCATCGGAAACTCTTGAGTTGCTTTGATGTCAAAGCCTGCTATGGTGCCCCCATTGTGAAATGCAATTGCCTGAGGCCCATTCCACACAGCTGAATAAAATCCCACATTTTCTGCTTTGAACTGGGATATATAACAGTGTGGACTTAGATAACCCAGTTCAATGCAGATATTGTGGGATTTTCTGCCTTGATATTCTGGGTTATATGGCTATGTAGAAGAGCCCTTAGAGGTGCCAGTATTACTTCATTCCATTGTGCAGTTAAAATATGAGCTGCTTTTTACCAAAGTCTTTGGAGAGAGTGTGTGTAGTGATTTTGTTCAATCTGCACAAGTATGTGAGATAAAATTGTTCTGATTTGTTTGAACTGTACTTTAAAATTGCTTAAATTACTGGCTGCTTTAATTTGCATTAATTTTCCATTTATAGTGTTCTTACAATGTACAGTGGGCTATAAATATATTAATAAATGAATAAATCTAAAAAAATATTATGAATCTTTAATTCAAAACTACAGAATTACATCTTTGTGTTTGTGTGTGTGTGTACACACATCTAGAGAGAGATTGGGGGAGGGCCATTATACGGATCCTTTCTTAAGCTAGTTGTTACACCCTTCATTTGCTGTAATAAGCTTTCTAATGAACTGTATGTAATGCTCATATAGTTTTGGTCTACTGAGTCATATGAGTATATTTTGATGAAAAAGAGGTGGCAAATCACAATGTGGGGCTATTAATGGGTGTGCAGTTCTGCTAGAGCTGGCCAGAGGCCAAGGCAGGCTAGGCCTAAATAACGAAGAAGCAGAGTCTTACATCAATGCAGCTGTAGCAAGAACAATGCCATGAAAAACACAGCAGATGAAGATGAGAATATTCATCAATGGCCATTTGTAAAAATGCATTCATAACACATTTGCTCCTTTTTAAAAATGCATTCATAACATATTTGGAATCATGCATCAGATTTAATAAGCAAGGGAAAAAATGAAGGAAAGTATCTCAAATTCACCATTTACGTTTCAGTTCTTGCTTTGCAAAACCAAACTGCAATGAACACAAACAAGACATGAAATTCTTGGAGGACATCCCAATGTTATTTATAGAGACTAGAAATTGGTCTGCCAGATGAATATATTCAACACGTAAATAGTAGCGCACTCCAGCACAATCTGAACTTATAGTCTGCCAGTTATGATTGCCGGTGATACTAGGAGAGTTATTTCTGTCAGGTTGCAGACCTTTCTTGGGTCACTTCTTAGGAAAATCTGATGTCAACACATATGACAAGGCTTCTGAATTGCTAGGCATAGGTTATAAAACTACATAGTAAAATGGTTCAGCCTAATTTCCTGTAAAACATATTCAGGGATAACTGTGTTGGATATGCAGCAAAACAAAACAATAGAGCGATATCTTTAGTGGCTAACCATATTGCACAAAACACATGATGCAAGCTTTCAAAGTTCTACTGCCTTCTTCATCAGGTAAAATATGTAAAAAAATAAGAAAAGTGACAGTATTGGAGTCATAGGTGTACATTTTGTCTTCAATGTTGTTTCTGTTGTTCAGTTGAAGAATCTCAGAAAACCACTCCCACCTTTTTGGTTGTATGGGGATCAAGACAAAGGGCAATAAGATTTCAATTCTTTAAGTTCAAAAGTAGTTCTGGAAGAATTAAGGGAACTAAACAGAAGTACAATGAATAAAGACATTCCTACTGTGCATGCCTGCTAGAACAGCAGTGCTGAAAATGGAGGAATCTGTGTGCTAGATAGTGCTTGTGAGAATGATTACTAGTGATAAGGGCCGTAGCCAGAAAATTATTTTGGGGAGGGTTGAAAAATTCAGGGGGGGGGTTGAAAATTGTGGGGGGGGGTTGAAAATTTCGGGGGGGGGGTTGAAACCTGCCTCCTAGCTCACGCTGAAGCAAAGAGCACAGCAGGGGGCAGAGCAGCCTTCAATAGCCTGCAGCTCCGCCCCTGTCAACCACCTCCACCTAGTCTGGCCTTCTTAATGAGCGCATTCAACACCCTCCCCCCACTTGGTTGCTTTGCTACATCGGCTATTGCTGCAAGTAATGACAGTGTGAATAAATTGGCAATATTTGCTTGAGATAGTGCTTGCAGTTCTTGAGGGACTCTTAATTTTTTGCATCTCATAGACTTAGCATGGAATTCATGAGTAAACCAGTTAAAATTCGCGAGTAAACCAGGTTTAGTTATTTTTTTTAACCTGAAAAATTTCGGGGGTGGGGGGGTTTGAACCCCTAACCCCCCCCCCTCCAGGGCTGCTAGTGATCATGATAAAGATAAATCCTTTATCTTCATTTTCCTGGGTTTTTTTCATATGTTGAAGAATTGGTTCTTTTTGACAGGGGTTCTAACATTACAGGAAATAATTCAAAAAGTTCTCTATCCTTTCCCCAGTGGCAAATCCCATGGCAAGTAGGTAATGGAACTCAGGTCAAAAGGAATTTGTTACTGTCGTTTTGTGCCTTCAAGTTGTTCCCGACTTATGGTGATCCTTTGCCATAGGGTTTTCTTGGTAAGACTTGTACAGAGAATTTGCCTTCCTCGAAGGCCTAAAGAGAGTACATTATTCAAGGTCGCACAGCAGGTTTCCACAGCTGAGAAGGGTATTGAACCCCGCTCCGGTCTCACTATCTATCTAGTTAACAATTTTTCTTTGCAAGGTATCTGAGAGAAATGTGGGCTGTTGCAAATGAATTTGTCACATTGGTTATATTCTCTTATTTTTAAAAAAAATCCATAGTGCCAATGCCAGTCAATTCAATTCGTTTTACTAACAGACTACAATCCTATTCTGTGATTCTTTGCTAGGTTATGCTGTCTTCATTTAATCTTCCACTTCCATTGTGTTGCCCTCCAAAGAACAGCCCTCTCTCCTTTTGCTCATTGCTGTAGTGATGTTTAAGGCCCTGGTAGACTTCCCTGGTTTTACTAGAGTACTCGTTTGCAGCTTCTGTCCTTGCAGACAGCTACAAGCAACATGTAGATCCTTTCATTTATTTATTAAGAATCTTTGTAAACCACTTAATAAATAATGTTAACAATAAAATTTTAAACCATATAGATTAAAACAAATGAAATAGGCAAATGGCATAACACCATGTTATATACTGAAACACATGTAACCACCAGCAGCAAAAGATTAATGCATCAGAACAGAACAAGAAGATAAAACACTGTATAAGAATGAAAGCACCCAGGAAAATAAAAAATTGTTTATTTGGCGTAGAAAGGAGCACAATATGAGGCCTGAGTAACCATCCCAGGAGGCATTTCACAACTAAGGTGACACCACTGGAGTCTCTGATGGCACAATGGGCTAAACCCTTATGCCAGCAGAACTTCTGACCAATAGATCAGTGGTTCAAATCCAGGGAGAGCGGGTTGAGTTCCCTCTGTCAGTTCCAGCTCCCCATGTGGGGACATGAGAGAAGCCTCCCACAAGGATGGTAAAACATCAAACATCTGGGTGTCCCCTGGGCAACGTCCTTGCAGACGGCCAATTCTCTCACACCAGAAGTGACTTGCAATTTCTCAAGTCGCTCCTGACATGAAAAAAAGCACTGAAAATGCCTTTACCCTATTAGCAATCCCATTTAGTGGGAACACACAGAGGAGTGTCACTGAAGATGCATTCTTCCATAGAGTGACTAATACCTCCGTACCATATTTGCAAAATACAAGGACTGATAGCAGACATTTCTGACAATATCATAACTACTTCTGAGGATGCTCGCCATAGATTCAGGTGAAACATCAGGAGAGAATGCCTCTAGAACATGGCCATATAGCCCGAAAAAACCTACAACAACCCAATGGCATAACTAATTAGCTATCATATTAAGGTGGAGGAGGGAGAAGAAAGGATGTGCTGTTAATTGTATAATTTCCTGAAGAACTTGCAACTATTATTTTATTACAGCATTTTTGTTCTGATGATATCTCACACTCTTGTTTAAATTATGAAGCTAAAACAGTAGCAAATATAGAATTCTGGCTAAGGTGTCATAAAGGAACTATTCTAAACAGAGATCATTGATTTCAGCTGTTCCAATAATATAGATCACTAGCTGTTCTTCAGGGCAATATTCTAATAACATGTATTGTTCTCTGAGACTAAAAAGTGTTCATGCAAAGATCTTTCCTAAACCTACTATCTGAGACTTTTCTCTGGCAGAGCCAATGGCTGAATCTGAATACTTACATGGTGCTAGGGAACCTCCAGATTGCCATCTGGGTGCAGCCTACCATGTTATAGGACTATCTCCCAATTCCTGTACTAGCCCTCTTACCCCTACCCCTCTGTAGCCCCACAGAGCAATCCCATGAAGAGAACAACTGCTCCTTGCTTTAGGGCTTAGTGTTTTTTCTGTCCATATGCTGAGACAACAGCCTCGGCAGACAGAGAGGAAGTGTGATTGCCCCACAGCAGGTCTCAAAAGGGGAGGGAGGAGAGGAAAAGAAGGAAATAAGGTGTTGGTTTTGTCTGGCTTGTGCAAGAGCAGTGGTTCTTAACCTGTGGGTCCCCTGGTATTTTGGCTTACAACTCCAAGACTTCCCAGCCAGTTTACCAGCTGTTAGGATTTCTGGGAGTTGAGGCCAAAACATCTGGGGACCCCAGGTAGAGAGTCACTAGAGCAGTGGTTCAGACACATTGCATCAGACACATTCACACCTGCATCAGGCACATGCACTCCCTCCAGTGCAGTGGTTCTCAACCTGGGGTCCCCAGATGTTTTTGGCCTTCAACTCCCAGAAATCCTAACAGCTGGTAAACTGGCTGGGATTTCTGGGAGTTGTAGGCCAAAAACATCTGGGGACCCCAGGTTGAGAACCACTGCACTAGAGGGAGTGCATGTGCCTGATGCAGGTGTGAATGTATCTGATGCAAAAGTATCCATGTGAACTGCAGGTATAGGTGCATGGCTCAAATCACTGAAGCCTTGATAATCCATCTCCACAACAAAGTATTCAGGTCAAGCAAAGGTTCCTACCAGTGATGTAAGACATGTGGGCCATGACTGAATCATGTTTTCCTTTGGGACATACCATGGGAATATGTATCAACAGTGCTTCTCCATTCAAAATAATAATTATTCTATTGTATGCAATGGATGCACGTGAAGGATCCTGCTAGGTTCAGATGTGACTCAGATCCAAATGTATGGAGTTTAAATAGGATTCATTGTTCCCTGACAGATCAGAAATACATTTTTATAACTTCTTTTTCCTAGTTTCACAGTCATGAGGAACAAAACAGTAATTTTAGGAAAGGTGCAATACTAATATCTTTCTTTCTATTTGCAGAAACATTCCATTCTCAAAAATATCATTGGGCTATATCAAGGATTTGTGGTTCAAATAAAACTGCTGCACCAATAGCAAATGGACTGTGCTGAGGAAACACATTCAGACATCACAGTGGTTGGCAAGATTAGTAAAATGCTCACCTCTTTCCTATTCCGTGTTACCATATTTGGGTCAAGAGTTCCCAAGGACAAGTTTGGCAGGACAAAATTAAGCACTTTAGCTGCAAAAACCTAAGAGAGATGAATAGAATTAGTAACTTAGATAGCACAGAACAGAACAACAGGAATCAGCTTTGCAAGTGGCGGAAACACTTATTGTTATTCGACTGCATTATCACTGCACTCTGGCCAAGGACTTGTTCTAAAGTGCAAACAAATATATTGACTCCAAATAATGCAGAACAGGGCCATTTAAAGGGACAAATACAGTGCAGTATGCACCTTTATATTCCTGCTTCTTGGCAGGGGGTTGGACTGGATGGCCCATGAGGTCTCTTCCAACTCTTTGATTCTATTCCCTGAGAACAGTTTCAGGACATCTACATTTCTTCCTGACCCTAAAATTACATGTAAGAGATGCCTGCTGAAGGTGGTGATACTGAGATATATTTTTATTCATCAGCGCATCTGAGGTTTGTTTGTTGTTGCGCCTTCTCACTACTCTTTACTTCTTATTCCAGGTAGCTGCAATGCAAATAGTTGTTTGTGCAGTTTACAATACCTGCCTAGGATGCACCACTTTTCTAACAAGCACATTTTCCATTAAGAATGTGGGAAATGTATGCAGCAAATTTACTGTACATCAGCCATCTAAGAGTGAAATGCAAACAAATAAACAAGCAAAACCCAGAATTACCAGATCATGAGGATGCCGGGAGAAAGAAAGAGAAAGCCTTTTTCTCCCACTACTAGTAGATAAATAAGTAGCTGAGTCTTTGTCATTTAGCTGTATAAAAACAAACTGTATCCTGAGATACTGTGTGCAAAAATGCAAAATGAACCAAATGATCTTGATAGTGTATGAATCCATTAGATGAAATCAGTCCCATAAAGTTCTGTAACCCTCTTGCATCAAAGCTGTTACGGGTTGGGAAATTATGCTACATTAAAGAACAGATAAAAGAATACAATGGAAGTTCTTCTGATATGCCAAACATCAGAGCAGCTTCAGTCTTCAGAGATATTTACAGGCAATGTAGTGACCTTGCTACTGTTTATAAAAGCCTCCATTGATATCGAAGCTCCAAGAGAAGCCATCAAAAGTACAGGTGCCTGTATAGTTGAAATTTCTCTGTCTTCCTTAAACCATTATGAATGTGATGTAGGAGCTTGATCTTTTAAAAAATAGTTATAGTAGAAAAGTGCCATTTCATGGATACACCACAGCAATATAACAAAAGAAAATAAATAGAAAAACCAAGAAAGCAGGAGAGAAGGAGAAATATTGTTCTAATATATTTTAGAATAAAAAGGGAACCCACTTTAAAGTTGGAATAAAACGTTGCAGCTAGTGTCAGGAATTGCTGGGTTGGGGGAGCCTAGAAACATTGGCTAAATATTTAAAAATACCAAGAGAGCTGAGTTGATTTTGCTTTCTATAAAGGAATCCAAAGAATGTGGTTTAGCCTCAAGTCTTTGAACCAAAACTAAATAACCTTTTGAACAATACAGGTTTTATGGCTTTAGTGACAACAGGCCTGATCATGGACTTAAAAGTTTGCTCATTAATTTGGAACATTTTGTTTGGTCCTAATAAAGGCACTTTCTGTCTCATAATCTTAGGATTTTTTTAAAGAGGCAGTTAACCCATATTGGCAATGCTAATGAAACTGAGAATGGGACTGTGATAAGGTTCGCTTTCACTCAACACGTTGTGATTAAAATAAGAGCAAAAGGTTTCAGGGAGCAGCCAGCAATACAGATGTACTTGCATACTTGAGAATTGAAGACGGAGGGTCGCCCTTATCCAATCTAGGCATCTTTGCAAAGTCTTCAAAAACAGTAAGAGAGAGTCTTTCACAACTCCATCTTTTTTATTATTATTCTCACTATTTTAATACTTATTTTGTGAATAGGTAGGACTGAAAGAGGTAACACTTTTTGCTTCAAACTAGACAGAATCCAGATCATACCTCAGCAAGCAATTTTTTTTTTTTAGTTAAAAGGGGGCATGGGGCAGGCAGCATGTTATGTGCATAGGCTGTTACTGTGACTACTTAATGCCTGGGTAAAGTATCCATATGGATTTAAAATTCTAGCTTTTTTAGAAATGTGGTTGGAGAGGGTGCTGAATAAGATGAAGAGTTTCCTTTTAGATTTCTGTGAATCTTATCAGGGCTGCCCCTGCAGCACTACCTGGGCAGAATCACACAGGCTATTTGATAAAAGAAAAGTGTGAATGCTGACAAGTCTGAGGAAGTGTTTCCATAGGGACTGATACAGGACATTTCCTTTAAGTAGCTCTCTCTCTCAATCTCGCTCGCTCTCTCTTTTTCTCGCTCTCCCCCTGCTCTATTTACTTCATGATTTTCTATTTCTGTACGGTTTATAAGCCACATAGAAGATCAGTGCATAGCACTCTGGGAGATGGCATTGCCCCTGTTGTAAAACTAAAAACTGGTAATGCTCTTGTCTGTGCCTGCTCTTTCTCCGCTACATCATTGGCTATATTTAATTCTGCTCAGATCAAGGGAATACTAATGGAGATAACTGCGTCTACAGAGACATAAATTTGATCCTCTAATTTCAAGTCACTAGACACAGCTGATGATTTTACTAGCATGAAGGCATGTCTTTTCTGCATGCTTTCCCTGGCTTTTGCTTGTGCCCAGCAACATCTACTTTGTTTCCTGTATTTGGTTTGGGACAAGGCTGATGAATGCTTTCCCCTTCATAAAGTTATCAGAGAAGAACTCTCATAGAACCTCAGCCTCAATAGTGCTGGATAGGGCAGATGGAAAATACTGTTCAACATCTGAAGGCAGGATGAGATCTTAAAACTATTGCACTGAATTCCTGAGTGGTGGTAATGAATCAGTAGTACCAGAATTTGCTTACAAAGCTTCTTAAAATATGGGTTTTAGGGGGGGAAAGTGCTTCAAGAAACTGATTTGATATATAACAAGTGGTGGTTCTTGCAAGGTACCTTCTTCCAGTTATGAATGGTATATGTGAATCATCATAGTATCCTCTAGAACATGGCCATATAGCCCGGAAAACCTACAACAGCCCATCATAGTATACATTAAAATGCTGTCACATATAATGGTATATTCTGTAATATCCACTGCAACAGAATGTATATAAACTATTAAGATTGAGAAATATTTGAGAATATGAGAGTATAACAGAGAACAATATCTGATGTTGTTTACTGCTAAAAAAATAAACTGGCTGACACTTTTGATATCTCAAGACCAGTCAATTTGCATATCTAACTAAGTATCTGTATATTTAAAACCAGCTATTTCAAACTAGATTGACACCAACCTCCCTAAAAAACCAATACAAGACCATTCAGTCTCATTGAAGCATTATATTATGAGATGTAATGATGAATAGGAAGTATCCTTCCAGCCACAGTGTCATTCCAACCACAACAATGTAACTGAAACCTTATGAAAGAAAAACACCTTGAGGAGGAAGTTTGACAAGTAACGTATCAGGAGAAGTAAGGGGTTATGTCTTCACATTTTTCTTCACTCCAAACCACAGTTTTTCTTTGAAAGCTGTTTTTTTTTTAGTGAGAAAAAAGCAGTTGCTAGGATTTTGCAATACATATATAAGGCTTGTGCTTCTACACTTTGTACTCCTTACAAGGCTTCCTCTGAATTCAGCTTTATCAAAAACTTTAAACCTATATAGCATAGATCCATTTGTATTGGTAAGACTAGTGAAAGAAAGAGCTACTGGCTGGAAACTGTGGAAAGCTCAGTTCACATTTAATTAATGTGTCTGAAATTAAATTTATTTCTGTTTTTTGTATTTATTTTTACCTTGATTGGTGTTGCTACATCCGGACTTGCAACTACTAAAGGAGAAATCAATACCATGCCTGAAAACTCATTTGGTCTTTCACATGCGGTAAGGATGGCAATGGCTCCTCCCTGCAATGAAAAAAAAAGCAACACACTGAGTGATTATCATGAGAATTTATCTGATTGGAGCAAAGATGGGCTCTGAGCACTTTATAAGGAGATACCATAACAAGGTCTCTGCCCTAGAAATGGTGCCAATGTGTATTAGTGACATACTAAAATTAGGGAAATGTTATTCTCTAGTATTTCTTTCGGCACAGAGAAAGAAAGGCAAATTTAGGGCAGACTTCATTTTTACATAACATTAAATGCAACAATTAAAAAGAATATAATAGGGACTGTGAAGTTGGCAATAGCTTTTATGCAATATCTTGGGTAGAACTGTGCCTCATATGTGAAATTCACCTGCAAGTTTCAGTACAGCATTTGTATATTTCAAAAGATATCCTAGGATGGTTATAACCATTAGAATATGAAGCACAGTGGCACAAAGAAGCCAGCATATCCTCAGGCACAGCATTAAACTCATTTTGAGATCCAAGTCCAAACATCTATATATCCAACACAATAACATTTTTATAAAGTATAGGAAAAAGAAAGCAGAGAGGAGCACACTATTTTATTTCCCCTTTTCCAAGGTGTAAAACAATAATATTGGAAAAGTTGGGGCTGTGCTTGTCAAAAAAAGGATTACTTTCATGAGTATACAAAGTATAAAGGAAGACATTCAAAGTAGAATGAAATGCTTCTACATTAAGAGAGTTCCAGTGAGTTAAGCAATGAAGCAGCGGGAAATCCAGAGAAAGACATAGAGACAAGATGGCCAAGGCAGCTGAGGTAAAAGAAAAGTCACAGAGAAAATAAAAGTAATGGGACAGTGCCGCCCAATTAGAATCTTCATAAAGCCATCAACTTTTGGCCACATTCAACACTGTATTTCCTGAGAGTGCTCTTTGAGGTGACTATATTTCAACCAACCCTTCATTTTGCAAACAAATTTATTTTAAAAAGGAGAGAACCGCAAATAATGACTTTGAGCTAGGATTGCCAGAGTTGAAACTGGTCAATGCCCATGTACCCCGAATAGTTGCTGAAAGATGAAATTTCAGCAGGCATTGCTTGTTGCCTGGCTAGCAACAGATGCTGAAATGCCCTCTTTAATCCAACCCTTAAAAGTACAAGAGCCCTCTCCAGTTTTGGGCATAAGTAATGTGGGATTTACAATGTCTCTTGCATCATTAGGGAAGTGATACTTTGAGCTGGCCTCTTCTACACAGCCATATAAAATCCAGATTATTTGCAGTGAAGATTCATATAATCCAGTTCAAAGCAGATAATGTGGATTATCTGCTTTGATAATCTGGATTACATGGCAGTGTAGAAGGGACCTTAGTCAAATTTAAACAAGCAGAAGGTATTTAAACTGGAGAAGACAATGTTTCAAATTCCCCAGTTACAAAATTGTACTCAACACTAACTCTGGCTGAATTCCAGTGGATTCCAGTGGATATATCTTTCTTTTACTAATACATTCTTGGTCAAATATCATTGATCTTTCAGATGTAATGCCATGAAACATGGTAATGGCCAACAGCATGAAAATATTTTAGGAAAAAGAAGAAATAATAAAGATTTAAGCCATAATAACAGCTGTGCATCTAAACAGCCAGGCGACGGGGTTTGGGGGAATCAAATCTCTTCTCTGTTTTAAGGTAAGACAAAGACCTGGGAGATAAGAACAGATTTGTGCATGTACTGCTTATTATTTCTCTGGCATAATTTATTTTTCTTTTCTGAAACACAAATGTGCTTATGATAAGCTATGCTGGGCACTGAAGCTCCTTTTCCCAGATCACTTGAAGTCAGGCTCAGAAATCATTTCAGAGTTTGAGATTTTTTTAAGTGTTAATAACATTTCAAGCTTATTTTCACTATTACGGGGGTCTGACAACTGAGGTGTTTTTGAAAAGGTAGCTGAGATTCTCTAGCTGCAGACTTACATCCCTATCTGTAATTTCTGTGTTTGGTTGTGAATGAAGAAGCAGAGTCAGCTCTTGCTCCAACTGCCACATTATTATCAGTCACAAGTTCCCTCCAATTGCCCTCTTCTGGCACATGATTCCTCTGACCTCAACTTTTCCAAAATGGTAAACTGATACTACTAGCACTGAGGTAAGCTAGTACACAAGGGCCAGGTACCAAATACCCCTTGCAGATATCTCATGGACTAGACTTCTCCCACAACCATCCCAAATACTTCAATTTTTCTCATTGAACCAAATGTTTCAAAAAGATTTGGGGCAAGTTGTGGGGAAGGTGGGGGGCTTTCAGTAAAACATTAGGTACAGGGACCACTTGCAGCTCACAAGGCTACACTTTGTCCACCCCTGCTATAGGACCTAGTAGACACTTGGACACATCTCCTAGCTTATTAACTAACATTCCTTGTTCTTAAATCAACAAGCTAATTGATACTGAGCTGAAGTCATCATTATACTTGCCCAATGTTGAAGAGTTTTTCAGAATGCTAGAGAAAAACTAGGATGAGAAAGCCATTGTTCTGCAAAGAGTGGGACATCCCCCAAAACAACTGGCTTACATTAGTTCTTGATCATAAAGTATACTCTAAATTGTGTCTCTCCAGACATCCTGGCATGTTTGTAACAATGAGAGGGAACTAATTCTTCAGTTGTCAACACTTGTACTCTGTCGGACGCCAATTTCCATCAGAAACAGCCAGAACAAACAATAGCTGGATGATGAAAGTTGTGGTCCAACAATGATTGTCTCTATAGAACATCACAGCACCCCAAATCCTGTGTATTACCTACCTCTTATATCTCAATTTGATCACTAGTTGATGACCAAGGGATAGTATGTACTGGGGTGTGCACATATGTTTATGAAGTGTGTGTTTCTGTACACACAACTCCTGCATTCAAGCTTTATTTGTATATCCATGTGAATGAAAAACAAAACAAAATATAATAGAAAAAGGGATTTGGAACAGAGAATGAGAAGACTGTAGTGACAAAATTTCTTGCCTTTTCTACTGCCTTAGAGGCCAAGAAATATAATTAAGTAGGGATAGTGCAGTGTGCTTACCATGGAATGCCCTAGAAGAAACACGGGAAGACCTGGGTGATCTTTCTTCATTAGATCAATGTGCTGCAAGCAGTCTCTGACAAATACATGGAAGTCTGACACAATCATACGGTCTCCTTCACTCTTCCCATGGCCAACTGTGAAGGGGAAATGAAAAGTGACCTACTACATACAAAATAATAGTTTTAAAGTAAAGATGCTCTAGGCAAGATTGCATTTGAAATCCAACAGAGGGACATGTTGATATATTTGATATACAGGTTGAGCATCCCTTATCAGAAATACTCCAAAATCCAAATTTGTCCACATGGATAGTTGAGATAGTGACATGTATACTTTCTGAATGTTCAATATATGGAAACTTTGTTTCATGCACAAAATTAAGAATATTGCATTCAAAATGACCTTCAGTTTACATGTATAAAGTATAAATGAAACAAAAATGAATTTATTGTTTAGACTTGGATCCCATCTCCAAACTGTCTCATTAGCATATACAAGTACAGGTATTCTAAAATCCAAAGAAATCTGAAATCCAAACTACTTCTGGCCACAAGCATTTTGAACAAGAGATATTCAAACAGTATCCTAATTCAAGTAATATGCATTATCAGTCTATGAATCTGGTGTCACCCAACTATTTTAGAATATCATTTAATGCTTTTCAAATAAATAATGATCATATTACAGTGTATATGTAAACACAAGGGGAATCCAAAGATGTCTGCTGCAAGCAAACAGTCTTGTAGAACACTCAAGCTGAGTTAAAATTTAATAGCATTGAATAGTTTTACGAATAAATATTAAAGATTTGGTTCCCAGCAATACTAGGGTGATAGTCATATCTACAAACCAGTTCCCATGAATTCCTCTATCATGCTGGATTGAGATGTATCTTTTCAGCAGTCCTGAGAAAGAAGGACTGGCTGAATGACAGATTGATAGAATGTGTGTAAGTTATTATGCTGCACAAGTACTTTAACATAGGTGCATATGCACAAAAACGCCACAAAATTCCTATGAATTATGTACAAATGTATCCAAAATATCTGAATTGAAAAGAGATGTTGAAGTACAGGGAAGAGTGAAAGGGACATTTTTCATTCAAAGACAGCACCTGTTTTGATCCAAAATGGGGGAATGGAGTGAAGGAAATAGCTGACTACTAACAAAATGACTAAAAGTGTGGAGATTACACTACAGAGACAAAGTACACAAGCAGTTGAAGCTAGAAAGAATCACTATTGGCTTTTACTAGAATTTCATTGTTATGGTCACTTGAGTAAAATGGAACACTGGGATATTAACTATTGTATATAAGCAACAAGTAAAAAAAAGGAATCTCTTGTGTGGCATTTTAGCCCCTCTATGTAAGTTTCAATTTAAATTAATCTATCTATGAAATGTCGCCCTTCTGTAAACTGCCTTGAATGAATATAGAACCATAGAGTTGGAAGAGACCACACAGGCCATCGATTCTAACCCCCTGCCAGGCAGGAAAAACACAATTAAGACACCCTCAACAGATGGCCATCAAGCCTCTGTTTAAAAGCCTTCAAAGAAGGAGCCTTCACCACACTCCAAAGCAGAGTTTCACTTCTATACAGTTCTCACAATCAGGAAGTTCTTCTTAATGTTCAAGTGAAATCTGTAATTTGCATCTATTGCTCTGAGTCCTAATCTCCAGGGCAATGGAAAACAAGTCTGCTGCCTCTTCCTTATGACATAATTTCAAATATTTGAATATGGATATCATGTCCCCTCTCAATCTTCTCTTCTGGACGACGGATTGGATCACGACTCTAGTTATGAGATGTATTGTGTTGTCTATTGTTGTGTCAATATTGTATATTATGCTTTTATGGTTTTAAATTGTATATCGTTGATTGATTCCTATCCTTGTTGTAAACCGCGTTGAGTCACCTGTTGGGCTGAGAAACTGCGGTATACAAGTAAAGTAAATAAATAAATAAATAAATCAATAAATAAAATTCTGCAGGCTAAATGTACCCAGCTGTTTAAGCCACTATGGTTTCCAGTCCATTGATCATTTAGGACCTTGTCCCATAGGTGACTCCCAGTGCCAGCACTATTTTTAAAGGTGAGACATGGAGGTGGTAATTTCACCTTATCTCATTTCTCCTTGCTTTGCCCTCTGGCCAGTGCAAGAAAGCGAGATGCATGTGGATTCCCTCTGCAATCCAGGCAAAACAGGAGGCTTCTCATGATGCCAGCTCCAGGCCTGGGCAGAGGAGGAAAGCTGTATGCACTGTGAGTGCACCTCACTTCACTCTGTGTAATCGCTAGTGGGTGGGCGAAGTGAGGCAAATTGAGGCAAGGCGAAACGACCGCCTCCATGCCACGCCATCAAGAACAGCACCGCCCCTGCCCATGTGACGAGGCCCTATGTTGTGCTTCTCTAGACATGTTGCAGCTTGTCAATATCCCTCTTGAACTGTGGTGCATGGAATTGGATACAGTATTCTAGGCAAGATCTGACCAAAGCAGAATAGAGGGGCACTATTACTTCCCTTGATCTAGACACTATACTCCTTTTGATGCAGCTCCAAATCCCATTGGCTTTTTTGACTGCTGCATCACATTGTTCACTCATGTTCAACTTGTTGCCAACAAAGACTCTTAGGTCTTTTTTTGTCATGTGTTCTCTTTTTGAGCCAGGTATCACCCAGCCTGTATTTGTGCATTTAGATTTTTTTCTGCGTTCATTTCTCCTTGTTGAAATTCATTTTGCTAGTTTTTGTCCAACTCTCTAATCTGAGAAGTCATTTTGAATTGTGATCCTGTCTTCTGGAGTATTAGCTATCCCTCCCAATTTGGTGACATCTGCAAATTTTATAAGCATGCCCTCTAAACCTTCATTAATGTCATGAACAACAATGTTGAACAGCAATGGTCCTAGGACAGAACCCTATGGCACCTCACTAGTAAATTCTTTACAGGATGAATAGGAACAATTGGTGAGCATCCTTTGGGTTTGGTTGTTCAACCAATTCCAAATTCACCAACAGTAGTATTGTTTACTTCACATTTTACTAGTTTGTTTGCAAGAAGATCATGGGGGACCTTTGATAACTTGGAGATGGGATCTAAGTCTAAATACAAAATTCATTTGTTTCATATACACAAAGCCTGAAAATAATTTTATACACAATATTTTAAATAATTTTTTGCATGAAACAAAGTAAATCTGTTATATGGCTCTCCCTGATATAATGTGAATAGTTCTAGGCATAACTTGAGAGTGTTCTTTTTTGAACAACAGGAATCTTGGAGTTCCAATTTCTGTTTTTGGTCACATCAATGCAGGTGGAAAAGACACAAAAACAGAACAAATAAAACAACTGGGGAATTTCAGCCCTTTTGTCTATGAAGAAGGGCTTATGGTCTTTATAATCTCTTGAGAAGAAAACTAAGGATAAAAATGGTTCTTACAGATTGTGTAGAAAACTTACAGATTGTGTAGAAAAGTAAAAATGCAGTGAAATGAGCTGCCAGGAGATTCAGGATAGACAGAAAAAATGCTTACTAACACACTGTGTAACTGATTTGTAGAATTCATTGCCACAAGAGGTAGGAAAGGCTACCTCTTGTAGCAATGAATGAATTGTGTTCTTATCAGAAATAGAAATTGGGATCTAACTTAGATCAGTAGCTACCCTCACCTGATCATTTCTGAATACTCTTGGGTAAGGCGTTCCTAGTAACATAACCAATAATTTGACTGCTCAAGGGCAGTAAAAAGAATGAGATTAATTCATAAGAGATATACATATCAACATTGGTTAGTTATGACAGAAAAATATTATCTTTGTGTTTAGAAGCAATATGCAATTAAATACTAATGACTGGTAGCCAAACCCAAGTAATTGAGTGCACTATTTCAAAAAGGAGGTGAACAACCTACAGATCTAAAGTCACACATGACCCACAGTCTGATCTCATGCAGTCCTATGCCTAATTTCCTGGAAATTATTTTGCAGTCATTTCTGAAAACTAGACTACGACTGGGTAGTACCAGGCAGTGGCAATTGGTGGCTACCTTGTCAGGGTGGTGGTGAATTTACTTCAGATTTTAATGCAGGTTTTAAAGGAGCCATCCAGGGCACTTGGGATAGCGCCTTTAAAGTTAGCCAAATGCAAAATTGCAGCACCAATAACATGGGAGCCTCCAGTCACTATTAGAATCAGTTCCATATTTTCAGGTGATCACCAACTCTTCTCAGTGGCCTTGGGCTTAAGCTACCTCGCAGAGTGGAGTGCAGTGTAATGACAGAGTGATATGTAGGCTGCCTTGAGGCAATTTGACTGATCACTATGACAAAGTGGGTTCTATACTAGATGGGCTTGGTTTAAACCAATGGGGGTGTTTCCATGTTCTCAGTCTGAATAAGGACTGATTTCAGATTATGTACAGGAATATGGCCAAATACAATTAAATATAGAAAAAAATAATCATTAGCCCCTCCTTCCTTATCGATTGCCAGAAATGTCTATTTACTTCACCAAGCTATTGAAATTCATAATTATCCCTTGAGGAATAGAACTAGAGAGCAGCAATAGGCACTGATGATAAACTGATTTGAAGAGGTGGCCCAGTGCCACATTATGGAGCCAAAATTACAGCTCTGTAATCACTGCAGTTCTAATTCCCCAAGGGGAAAAATGCTGAATAGCCAAGCTGGAAGGAGGGGGTGAATGCAGGCTATTCAGATATTCCTGTCACCACTAGTCAGGGGAACATTTGGTAAATCATTTCTCTTGCCTGTACACATATATTTTTTTCGGACTCACTTATGTAATTCAACTTCTTCAATTAAAGCATCCACAGCCTAATTATAACTCAAAAACAGATTTTAAAATGAATGCAGCAAATTACTAACGTTAAGTTATGCTCTTTAGGCCATTGTACACATCATTGGAATTGCAAGACTAGAAGGTAATAGTGATGGATGGGCTGGGGAAGGGAGTACAGCACTTTAACAAGTTTAAAAACAACAGTTACAGCAAAACTACTTATTTTCTCACTCCCAAAACTATAGTGCTATATCAGACAGTCCACCTGACTCCTAATGTAAGAAGCAATGAACAGAGGGTTGTTGTATGTTTTTCGGGCTAT